ATAAGCTAATATCTTTTTAAAGAATGATACTTTGTAAAACACTGTGTAATATTAAGAGAGAATTCTCGTGATCTGTCTTCAATGTATTGACTCTGATTTTTGCTTTTAATACTTTCTTTCTTCAACTTACTTTATTTTTTTAAATAAATTTTTATTGTTCATATTATTACAAATGTTCCTTCCCCCCATCCCCTCCATTTCTCTCCTTCATCAGGTTCCCACCCCACCCTCTGCCCTTCAGTACTCGTTGCAAGCGCCTCTGAGAGAAAGGTGCCCTCGATTTTCACCTGCTGTCAAACCGTCTAGGCTCTCCCCCAATGAGCCCGGTATTGGGGTTCAGTTCAGTTGGAAGTGGAGTTGGAGGTGGCGTTCAGAGCAGACTGGAGCCCCTGTCTCCTTCCCGCCAGGGCAATCCTGCAGCACAGCCAACCGTCCCTTCTCTGCGCGCAATGTGCGGGCCTCCGGGACCTCCTCTCGCCGCTCCCCCGGGGTTCCACCTTACAGCCCAGCTCCCTCTGAATGAGCCTGGGTCCCCGGGGTCTGGCCTAGAACTGGGGTTCAGAGCAGTCAGAACTGGGGCCCAGCACAGTCGGAGCTTTTATCTCCTTCCCGCTAGGGAATGCCAGCCAGGCACTCAGCCTCCCCTCCTCTCCGGCTCCATCCTCTCCGCGCATGCTGCGTGTCTCCGTACCTTAGGCTTTTACAGCTCCTCCGTTCTGGTTTTCTCCTTGCTTCTCATTGTAGAATTTCCAGTCAGTCGACTTCCCTGTAGTTCTGGGTAATGTCCATTTTATACTTTAGTTGTATTTTATTGAAATTGTTGTGTGTGGCTGCGGCTAGGTGTTTACCTGTCAGCCATCTTGGAACGACCTTCAACTTACTTTAGATTTAACTTTTTTATATTTCCCAAGCTGCTTCTTTTTCCTTTCAAATATATAAATATTTAAAGTTATAATAATAATTTAGGAAATAAGTAAAATTCTACTGATTTGGCTTTTATTACTTTACTAGGGGCCCGGTACACAAAATTCATGCACTGGGGGTGGGGGGGGTCCTCAGTCCAACCTGCCCCCTCTCACATACTGGGAATCCTCAGGGGATGTCCTACTGAAGGCTTAGGCCCGCTCCCCGGGGAGCAGTCTGGCCACCCTTTGTGGGAGGCAACCTGGCTGATCAGGGGAAGGCACCAGCCCCACCACCCCGCTGCTGCAGCCACTGCCAGTCACCGCAGCCGCCAGGTGTTTCCATCATCATGGACTCCAGTCCCTTCACCATGAAAAAATGACAACTTTCTTTAGGCATTTTCAAGATGTGTCTTTTATAGGATATGCATTTTTCTTTCTTTTTTTTTTTTTTTTTAACCTTCACCTGAGGATATGTTTCCATTGACTCTTAGAGAATGTGGAAGAGAAAGGGAAAGACAGAGAGCAACATCAAAGTGAGAGGAACACTTTGTTTGGTTGTCTCCTGCATGAGCCCTGACCTGGGCCCCGGCCAGGGAGAAGCCTGCAACCTAGGTACATGCTCTTTATCAGAATCAAAGCCAGACCTTGCCGTTAGCAGGCCGAGGCATTATCCACTCAGTCAAACCAGAGAGGGCAGGATATGGCATTTCTTAGCCCTCCAGCAGCTACATTTTTTTTCTCCAGAAGTGTGGTGATAAACCCTAGATCACCCTTTTGAATTCTGATTACCCAAGTTACTAAGCATATTACCAGTGGCACACAGAGAGCTTAGCCAATGTGTTTCCTCTACAGTTCACACCAATCGTGGGCTGGGCTCTGCCCAGGCTTAAAGCCTCTGGACGTAGCTTTAGGCCTGGGCAGGGGCCCTCCAGCTCCCTCTGATCACGAGTTCCGCCCCTGCCCAGGCCCGCCCAGGCCAAAAGCCTCTTGGGCAGGAGCAGAGCCCCAGCTCCCTGCGATCACAGGGGTTCTGCTCCCTGCAATCTATCGCTGGGGATCCGCTCCTGCCCAGGCGATCAATCGCTGGGGGTCCGCTCCTGCTCCTTGCCTAAAGCCTCTGGCGGAGGATTTCGGCCTTGGGCAGGAATAAACCCCCAGCTCCCTGTGATCGATCACAGAGGGTCCGCTCCTGCCCAGGCCTTACCTCACAATGACCTGGGTGCCAGGATATTCCTGGAACATAGGTGCTAGGCGCCTATGTATGCAAATTAACCGCCATATTGTTTGGGTTAATTTGCAGAGTCACTGATTGGCTATGAGTACGGACAATTTACATGTTTGTCTATTATTAGGTAAGACTAGAGACCTGGTGCATGAAACTCATGCACAGGTAGGGTCCCTAGGCCTGGTCTGCTATCAGAGCCAATCTGTGGAGCGACCAGAGGGTTGACTGGGGGGTCCCCATTGGCACCTGCTGTGGCTGGCCTGGGACCTATGGACTGGGGGGGCCGCTCTTCCATTGAGCATCTGCCCCCTGGTGGTCAGTGCACATTACAGCATCGTTCAGTCGATTTGTAAATTAAGCTTTTATTACATAGAATTTCTATGGTTATTGAACCTTAAAAGAAATTCCTAAATCTTTTTTAGTGAACATTTTCTAGGAGAATCAGCAAAATCTACCCAGAAGGGAAGTATGCATATAAATCTAAAGAATGATAAGGATGTTCAAAGTCTAACATTCCTGTAATATAACTCTTAGATTTTCATTCCATTCCAAGCTGGGTATGTGTTTATTCTAAGAATGCTTGGATTTTAAAAATTCTCAATTCCTGTTTTGGATACTATGTTATAATTACAAGTGACTCATTCATCCACACTCAGGTGTTTGGATGCAAATGAAATTATGACTTCAGTTAATTTTAATGCTTTGACTATACCAACTGCGTACACTTTCAAGATGAAATCTTCTTGTTACTAAGTACTTCAGTTAATGTAATGAATAATTTTTCTTATTTATTGCTTACACTATCTTTTTATATTTACCTTTGGAAATCTAACCTCCCCCTTTTAGTAGTTCATTTTGAGTCTTAATTTTTAAATACCAAAATGCTACTGCATATATATTTTATTTTCTTTATCCTTTTGTGAATAGTAGCAAAACTTATTTCCAGCATAAAACTCCTTGAAGAAAGTTTTTAAAAAGTAATGATTGTGCTATGAATTTTTCAAAATCAATCCAAGTCAAGATATACATACAACCAAAAGAATGTCTGTATATTTTAGAGAGCATAAAATATTTTTCCTAATTCATCTTTGAAATCATAAATAACAATGACATTATCAAATTAAGTCAGCTAGCCCTGGCCAGTGTGGTTCTGTGGTTGAAGCGTCAGCCCGTGAACCAAAAGGTCTCAATTCCTGGTCAAGGGCACATAACTAGTACCTGGGTTGCAGGTTGATCTGGGCACATTACAGAGGCAACCAATCTCCCCCAGCCCCCCTCACTCCCCTTCCCATTCCCTTTCCTCTCCTCCCTTCCACTCTTAAAAAAAAAAAAAAAAAAAAAGAAAATCAATGGAAAAAATATCCTTGAATGAAGATTAACAGCAACACACACACACACACACAAAAAATTAAGTCAGCTAGTAGGAAGCAATCGGATACATTTTACATTAGCATCAGGTTAGTTGGGTGACAGAGGGTGGAATGGAAAGCTACTTAATTTCATGAGTCATGTGATGATATATTTCAATGGAATGAAAGATGACTTTTGTTTCTAACAATTTTCTCTTTAAAAAATAAGTAAAATTTTAAAAATCATCTCATTTCAATATATTTTTTTAAAACCCAACAGTTTGCCCTAAGACAAATTTATATAATTAAACACTTCAAAACATAATATGGCATGTGTTATTGTTTCACAGAAACATTAGCTACTTAGATAGATCACTTTATTAAAATAATAGAAATTGTATGAAAATCAGCACAATACTTCATTTATTTATTGTATAAGTTTGGCAAACAGCACAAAAATCCAGCAACATTTTGAACACGTAAAAAAGTCAAATGTTGAACAGTACTGGAGAATTTTTTTTTACATAATTACTAATAATGAGCACATGTAAGATTCTGCAAAGCTAGCAAACTGGGGTGCTTGGTTTCTGAACATATACCACAAAAACACATCAAAAAACAATATAATTTACCTTTACAAAAATTACAGCCAAGCCATAGAAAAGAAGGATGCTAACAATGAAGATACAAACATACATGTGTACTACATACATCTCATACGTTGAAACGCTACATACATCTTGTACCCTGAAATGCCATGTGCAGAGAGCCAAGCAGAGTAAATTCAGGCTCCTCACTGAGGTTAGGAATCATTTGAGAAGAATTTAATGCTTTTATGTAACATACACAATTCTATTATAGCAGTTCCTAGATCATAACAACGTATTCCATTATATATCTGAGAAGTTGAGTCTTTTTTGTTGGCAGTATAAAATTTCTGACCAGTATCAAAATTCTGATAAAACACAAATTAAAGGCATTTTCTAGTATATGCAAATGTTATAGGGGGCATCAATGAATGTGAGAGAAAATCTTAGATTTCACACTAAGTTTCTGCTGAGCTTTGTCAAACCAAACAGCTCAACTATAAGGCAAGAAAAAATAACCCCCTACAACAGATTAGTGAGTCTTACCAAGTAAAGTTAGGAATTCAACCTTAGGGGAAAATTCTCTACATAAACAGATCTAAAATAGCTGGAATTGAAATGAACATCTAGAAATTACCCAACATTGTGACTCAGTCATTGGTTCAGAAGCCTGACAAACAATCTGTTGGTATATTTTATCAAATTAACTTTTTGGAATCAGCACCAATCCCCAAAACCTCAAATTATAATATTTAATCTTCATTAAAATACATCCTTTTGTGCTATATAAATACAACTACAATCAAATTAAAGACAGCTGAATTTAGTCAACTTATATATTTTGTGTAGACTGGGTAGCAACTTAAATTATTATTTATTTACTTGTGCTTCTGTTTTGGGGCACTTTGATTGAAGAGAAATTCATTTCACAGGATTACATCTTGCTAAAGCATTCCTTAGCATTGGTCCAAACTTGAATTCCCTTAGAAACAAACACAAAAAGAACTTTAAACTGTTAATCTGAAAGGATCCTGAAAGCCCAAGTATTTAGCTTCCTGGTATGCTTTGTTTGCTTTTGTGAATAATTAACAAGTCCAGCAACTATGACACTTTCTGGTAATAGCTAACATACGTGAACGTCTAAAAAAGTAGGAAAATCATTTGTATGAGCCTCTCTTCAAAATGCAGGCAGAACTCCTACAACTTTTTTTTCAAAACTTAAGTTTTTAAGCATCAAAACATAAACTCATTTACTCATCACATATTCTTAGCATTTCTACTTATAAACTAAACACATTTTCATTCAGTTTTTCTATGTAATATTTGAAAAAAAGACAAAAACCTTATAAGTCTAACAATTAAATATAAATCAATGAATTATCAAATTATTACTCTAATAACTTTTTTGATAGAAATCAATTATATACTAAACTAGAGGCCCAGTGCATGAATTCATGCACGGGAGGGGAGGGGTGTCCTCAGCCTTGTCAGTAATTGGGGCCGATCTGTGGGGGGAGGGGCGGAAAGGGGGCGGCCGGCCAGCCGGGGGAAGGGACCGTGGCAGGTTGGCTGTGGGAATACACTGACCACCAGGGGGCAGATCCTGTGTCGAGCATCTGTCCCCTGGTAGTCAGTGTGAGTCACAGCAACTGGTGGACAGGTTATTTGGTTGCTTAGGCCTTTATACATATGATTACCGAATCCCTCTCAACAGTTCTGGCAAGCTGTGTAGTACAAAGCTAATCTATATATATATATAAAAGCCTAACTGACCAGACAACAGGCCAGTAGCTATGATGTGCACTGACCATCGGGGGCAGATGCTCAATGCAGGAGCTTCCTCCTGGTGGTCAGTGAGCTCCCGCAGTGGGAACACCACTCAGCTGACAGACAGTCCAGGCGCTGGGCTCACGGCAGGCGAGCACAGCTGCGTCAATGCGAGCCTCTCTCGCGGACACTCCTCCTCCATGCCCGAGCAGCAGCAGCAGGCACAGTAGGGCCGGGATGAGTGGAAGCAATGTGGCAACTAACCCAGGCTCAGGCTCTTCCCCAGCCGCCTGCCACTTCACACACTCCTTTGTGCTGTGTGGGATAACGGGGACACTGGGCTGGAGCCCAATGAGCTGGCAGATAAGGCTGGGCTGTGGTGGCTCGGAGGTCCACTGATCCCCACAGGCCAGGCCGAGGGACGCCACCGGTGCATGAATCTGTGCACCAGGCCTCTAGTAAGATATATTATACCTAACATGCTAACATGAGAAGGTATGATTGTAGACATGTAACAGTAAAATCTAAAGTATTTTTTTTAAAATATATTTTATTGATTTTTGTACAGAGAGGAAGGGAGAGAGATAGAGAGTTAGAAACATCGATGAGAGAGAGTCATCCATTAGCTGCCTCTTGCACACCCCCCACCGGGGATATACCCGCAACCAAGGTACATGCCCTTGACCGGAATCGAACCCGGGACCCTTCAGTCCCCAAGCCGACGCTCTATCCATTGAGCAAAACCGGTCTCGGCTAAAATCTAAAGTATTTTTAAAATAAACAAGATACATAGTCTCTAATAAACTACTAAATTATGAAGAATGAATCCTATACAATAAAAGACTAATATGTTTAGTGTCTGACAGTTTGTTTGACCAGTTGCTATGACACACACTGACCACCAGGGGGCAGACACTTTGGTAGGTTAGCTTGCTGCTGGTGTCCGGCCAATCCGGACCAGGCAAGACGTGTTGGATATGCCCTGGAGCCCTCCTGCAGTACCTCCCCAGCTCTGATCATGCATTGATGGGGTCCCTCAACCTAGCCTGTGAGGATCCGACTGAACCCGGCAGTCCAATATCCCCAAAGGGTCCCACACTGTAAGAGGGTGCAGACCAGGCCAACGGACCCCCATTGGTGCAAGAATCCATGCACCAGGTATCTTGTTAAAATGTGTCTATATTTATCAAAGTTTCAAATGATAGGGAAAAAAAAAAAAAAAGAATCTTTTTAGTTTTTTCTTTCTTGATAAGATACAAAAAGCAAATAAAAATTTTAAAAACACACAAAAAACCCTTTAAAATGCCTCAGATTGGCTGGATAAAATAGTATTTAATAAACAGAGTATTTCTTGTTAGATGTCTCATGGATATCTTATTTTGACAGTGCTTCCCCCTGGTAGTCAGTGCATGCACTGTCAAAATAAAATATCCATGAGACATCAACTGGAAACACAAACATTGCACACTAGCACATATAATGCAATCTTGCTTTTGTAGGGAAGAGGAAAGTATGTATTTTCTAAATAACTGTATATATGCAAAAACACCTGGAAGAATGGATACACATGATGAGATTTCTAAAAGGAATTTGAGGCAGGAGGCTAAGATGCTTCTGGATTATTTGAAATTTTTCAATGAACATTTTGTTTTTATGACAATTTAAAAAATAAACTTGACAATCGATCAAGTATTCTTTAAAAAGCCTCAGCCCCCTTGATTCAACAAATTAGAAAATTCACTATCAGAAAGGCTCACCAGTGGAGAACCAGCATGGCAGCATAGGTAAATGCATGTACTCGCTGCTTCCCACACCTCATAAAAATTACAACGAAAATACAGCAGAACCACCATCATTCAGAACCAGTTGAATAGAAGTCGTACAATTAGAAATTAAAAAGGAAGCATATTGAGACTGCTAGGTGGGGTGGAGGTGGGGAACGGACTGGTCTGACACCACATGTGGCTTTTTTTTTTTTTTTAATCTGTTTTGTGGGTCAACTTTTGATATGCTGATACAGAAGTTCTGAAGAGAATCTTATATATATATTTTTTTATATATATTTTATTGATTTTCTACCGAGAGGAAGAGAGAGGGATAGAGAGTTAGAAACATCAATGAGAGAATCATCGATTAGCTTCCTCTTGGGGATATGCCTTACCGGGGATATGCCCCCAACCCAGGTACATGCCCTTTACCGGAATCGAACCCGGGACCTTTCAGTCCGCAGGCCGATGCTCTATTCACTGAGCCAAACGGGTGTCGGCAACATGTGGCATTTTTAAAATTTTTTAATGAGGAAGATACACCTCAGCTGCAGAGGCCTCCCATGAGGAGCAAGGGCTCCACAACAAGCTCTCAGCGAGGTTCCAGTGCTGAATGAGAGCCCCCGTAACTTCAGGCAGTGAAAACCCACGGGGATTGCGGCTAAGTTGACACAGAAGCTGCCGGAGCCCCAGCAGTCCCTCTTAAAGGGCCCTGACTTACTGGGGCTTGCTCCCTCTGAGCTCCAGCGCTGGGGCAGTGGTTTGGGGGGACATATAGGGAAGAACTGGATTGTTCTGCATCAGAGTAAGAACTCGGGGGCGGCTTTCTCCCACACAGGGGTGCTCACAGGGCTCCTTGTTTCTAGGACATCTCCTGTCACAGAGCTGACCTGCAGCTACACCTGAGTTTCCATCACTGTGGCCCACACTGTTTGCTCTACCCTGGCGATTCCGAGACCCCACCCCACCCAATTTGCAGCTTTACTCAAGTTGTTTGCAGATATGGATTGCCCTGGCTCAGGCTTCAGAGTGCCCCATACCAATCAATAAGAGGCCCAAGACCTGATATTAGCACCAGCCTGTCTTGCTTCACAGTTTGGCCTTTCCAGGGCACTTCCATGCCCAACATAAATAGCAGCCACCTGCAAATTGGTCTGTAGCTCCTGCTGGGTGGCTCCAGGACAGTGGCTGAATTTGCACATCCTGGAAGGCACCAGAGCCAGTGGACCCAGGGGACAGCTTCAGACTACACCAGATTACAACTCTACACACCCACAAGTGACACACTCAAGGGGCAGACTCAGGGAACACCAAAGTTCCACTGAAGCAAGTCCTGCTCCATAGGGGTGTCTCCTGCACAGCAGCTCTTCCACTGCAGCTGGTCCTCACAACCAAGTGGCCAGAAGATCAATTCCTCCCACTGATGCCAACAGCAATCAAAGTTCAATTACAAGACAATACATACAGCCCACACAGCGGTGCCTCTAGAGTAAGCAGCTCAGGTGACTGGGGAGGCTGAGCCATTGGGCCCTACATGTCACCTACTACACAAGCCACTCTACCAATTCCAGGAGACAGCAGCTCTACCTGATACATAGAAGCAAACACAGAGAGGCAGCCAAAAGGTGGTGGAGATAAACATGTCACGCGGTAGCTGGTTTGGCTCAGTGGGTAAAGTGTTGGCCTGCAGACTGAAGGGTCCCAGGTTTGATTCCAGTCAAAGGCATGTGCTCAGGTTCCAGTCAAAGGTTTGATCCCAGTAGGGGGCATGAAGAAAGCAGTTGCTCAATGATTCCCATCACTGATGTTTTTCTCTCTCTCTCCCACTCCTTTCCTCTCTGAAATCAATAAAAATATATTAAAAAAGAAAAAGAAACATATCACACACCCACGCGCGCACACACACACACACACACACACAAAAAAAAACACACACAAAAAATGAAAGAAATATTTCACAAAATAAAGAACATGAAAACTCCAGAAAAAGAGCAAATGAAATAGAAGTAAGCGAACTACTAAATACAGAGTTCAAAACAATGGTTATAAGATTACTCAAGGATCCTAATCAGAGCTTCAAAGGACTTTGCGAGAATTTCAAGGAGATTAGTGAGCACATCAAAGACATGAAAAAGGACCAATCAGAAATAAGCATACACTAACTGAAATAAAGAATAATTTATAGAGATTCAACAGGAGAGGATGAGGAGAATCAAATCAACAATTTGGAATATGAGAAAGCAAAAAACACCCAATCAGGAGAGCAAAAATAATACAGAATCCAAAAATATGAAAATAGCGTAAGGAGTCTCTGGAACAAGTGTACCAACGTTCACATCATGGGGATGCCAGGACAAAAGAGAGACCAAAATATTGGAAACCTATTTGAAGAAATAATGCCAGAAAATAATGCCAGAAAACTTCCCTTATCTATCTGGTAAAAGAAATAGACTTGTAAACCCAGGAAGCCCAGAGAACCCCAAAATAGAGGAACCCAAAGAGGCCCACACCAGAACACATCATAATTAAAATGCCAAAGGTTAAAGATAAAGAGAGAATCTTAAAAGCAACAAGAGAAAAGCAGTTAGTTACCCACAAGGGAGCACCCATCTGGCTGTCAGCTGATTTCTCAACAAACTTTGTAGGCCAAAAGGGAGTGGCAAGAAATATTCAAAGTGATGAATAGCAAGGACATATAATACAACCAAGATTACTCTACCCAGCAAAGCTATCATTTAGAATTAAAGGTCAGATAAAGAGCTTTACAGATAAGAAAAAGCCAGAATTCATCAATACCAAACCATGAAATGTTAAAAGGTATTCTTTAGGAAGATGAAGAAGAAAAGGGGGTGGAGGGAAGAGATAAAAAATATGAATAAAATGGCAATGGGGACTGGGCCTAAACCAGCAGTTGGACATCCCTCTTACAATCTGGGACAACTGGCTCCTAACTGCTTACCTGCCTTCCTGCCTGATCACCCCTAAATGCCTCCCTACACTGGCATGGTCACCCCCAACTGCCCCCCCACCAGCCTAGTTGCCTCCAACTAACCCCCCAGCCAGCCTGGTCATCACTAACTGCCCCCACCACCAGCCTCGTTGCTCCTTACTGCCCTCTCTGCCAGCATGGTTGCCCCCAACTGCTCCCCTCAACCCCCACAGGTCTAGTCATCCCTCACTGTCCCCCTCTGCCAGCCTGGTCACCTCACTAACTGCCTTGCCGGCCTCGTCACCCCATGCAGCCTGTTTGGTCATACATTGGGTTGTGATGGTGCTTAGGCTTTTATATAGAGAGATATGCATTAACTACAGACATAGACAATAAGGTACTGAGGGCTTGGGGTGGGGTGGGAACCAGGTGGAGGGGGACAAGGGGAGAAAAATACTGTCAACAATAAAGATTAAAAAAAAAAAAGTTGACCAAAAGAACACGTGACATTTGCTTTTAAGGCTAATATTAATATTTTTATGAAAAATTTTTGGTTTATTGCTACTGTAATTTAGTATTTTATTATATTCAATTACCATTTTGAATAGATAACATGATGAAACTTTATATTCCTGTTCTTGGGAAATAAGGTGACCATATAATCTAATTAATCTCATGTGAATAATCTATTGCTTACTATAGTTATTATCTTAGGGTACATGAGTTGACCCACAAGATATTCAAGGTATGACCAAATATACTTGCAGTAATATCCTTTTTTAATCAAAAAACTTATTTCTAGCATCTTCAAAAATCTAACCCTAAGCAAAGTGGGGGGAAAGTTCTTTGAACCATTATATAAAATCTGCATTTTATTTTGGGAAAAGAAGCAAATGATAAATCACAAGGAGCTTATTAGTAAGTCTTTTATAAAGAAAAAAAAGTAAACCACAAAACCAAATCAAAAAACTTTTGTTACCTGATCTTTTGGACCACCCAAGATTTAAACTTTTTAATTGTATTTTAATTTTAGTGAGAGGAGGGGAAAAAAAGGAGAGAGAGAGAAACATTTATGTGAGAGTGAAACATCAATAGGTTTGCCTCCTACACACCCCCTACCTGGGATCAGCCTGCAACCTGGGCATGTGCCCTGACTGGGAATTGAACCAGTGATGCCCAACCAACTGAGCCACACTAGTCAGGACAGACCACCCAAGATTTTAAAAAGCAGATAAGTAAGACTGTAAATGTGAAGCACCCTGTGAAACAGCAAGGCAGGCAGTAGGAGTTGACAGGATAACAGCAACAGAAACACAAACTACAACAGATTCAACCATCAGCATTTGCAGATTGACCAGTCATGACTTTAACTTCTCTTAGGTGACCCCAAAGATCCACAACATGAAATAACTTACAATTTCATTGAGTCAAAAATGTGAATTAGTCAAATACTAAAGGAGCCCAGTTAACTGGTGTGTTAAGTCTGGTGTTTACGTCTGAAAATGTTTGTTCTTTACTGCTCTTATTTTTGATACAAATGAAAAGGTCTAGGAAAGTGATTGGTTCCTAGCAAGAAAATAAAAACTTTGGATAAATTAAAACATGAGTGTTTACATGAGTGTGATTTTTCCTCTAAGGTCTTCATAAATATAGGAATCTACTTTACTCTGTGGTTTACTGAGAAAATGCATGTTAAATTGCTTGATAAATTGTGAAGGGCTAGACAAATGTAAAGCACACAGATAGATCTAAGGTTATGAAAAAGTTGTTAAGGAATGTTTTATATTTTATTCTTACAACAGCATTTTAGAAATTGTCAGAAGACTTATTTTAACTAAAATTAGCTTCAATGTTTGCATCTTATACTACAGACATCAGCTACATGAAGGATATACTCTGACAACAAACCATATCATAACCAAACAAATATAAGCTATTTTTCAATGAAAGTATCCATAACTGTTAGGAAGGATATTTTACTGTCCTATCTAGAGACAATCATATAATCAAAGTAATGTTAATATATTTTTTTAAATACAAGTGATAAATGGGGCACACAAATTTGAAACTTAAAATGAGTGAAGATTCAGTAACTGATACTTTGGTTATGATTCTTCTTTTAAAATTAAGTAGAGCCCTAGCCAGTTTGGCTCAGAAGATATAGCATCATCCCATGGACTGAATGGTCCTGGGTTCGATTCCAGTCAAGGGTACGTATCTCAGTTGCAGGTTCCCCAGCCCTGGTCTGGGTGTGTACAGGAGGCAACCAATGAATGTGTCTCTCTCATATCAATATTTCTATCTCTCCCTCTCCCTTCCATCACTCTGTAAAAATCAATAGAAAAATATCCTTGGCTGAGGATTAACAAAAAAATAAAAAGGAAAAAATAAAATTAAGTTGATAAATTGGGAAATATTCTGGAAGGGAAGAAGAATGGACTTTAAAAACAAAAATGATACTTTGATTCAAAAAGGATTAGTTTGTTTAAATTTTGTTTTCTTTTTTATTTATTGGTTTGAGAGAAAGAAAGAAAGAAAGAAAGAAAGAAAGAAAGAAAGAAAGAAAGAAAGAAAGAAAGAAAGAAAGAAATATCAATTTGTTGTCCAAACAAATATAAGCTATTTTCCAAACCTGCAACCTTGGCACATTGGGATGATGCACTAACCAACTGAGCAACCCAGCCACGGCCAGTTTTATAAAATTTGTAAGCACTTCTGCATGCACTTGTATCTTTACTGAAACCAAAACCCACCTTTTTGCACATACTAATCTGCATGACTGCATAGCTTATGAGAGCCTCCTTTAAATCACGGTTCTTTTGCTCCTTGAAGCGTTCAATATCGGCCCAAGCATTTTTCACAAATTCTCTGAAATAAAAGGCATAGTCATTGTTATTATTACTTAAATTAAGTGAACTATATCCTATAAATTCAAATAACCAGTTCTCGTTTGAGTTGGTTTTTGTATATTACAGAGGAAAAAGCTTTTCCTTGTATAAGATCTACTTTTTTAATATGTTTTTATTGATTTCAGAGAGGAAGAGAGGAGGAGAGAAAGAGAATGAAACATCAATGATGAGAGGGAATCACTGATTGGCTGTCTCCTGGAGCACACCCCACACTGGGGATCAAGCCTGACTGGGAATCAAACTGTGACCTCCTGGTTCATAGGTCAACACTCAACTACTGAGCCATGCCCAGCCAGGCAGATATATTTTTCTCTCCCTAAAAATTACAGTGAGAGAAAAAGCAAATATTCTCCTACATTTTAATAATCTGCATTTTTGCCACAAGAATTTCAGCTTCAAATCCTAAATAGGATTTACATAATAAAGAGGTAAATATGCAAATTGACCTCACACCTTCTCACAAGATGGCTGCACCCATGTGGTGAAAGATGGTCACCACAAGATGGCCAGCAGAGTAGGGCAGTTGAGGGAGACTGGCCTGCAGGAGAGGGAGGGCAGTTAGGGGGGACTGGGCCTGCAGGAGAGGGCAGTTAGGGATGACCAGGCTAGCAGGGAAGGGCAGTTGGGGACAACCAGGCCTGCAGGGGAGGGTAGTTAGGGGTGACCAGGACACCAGGGGAGGGCAGGGGCAACCAGGCTGGCAGGGGAAGGCAGTTAGGGGTAATCAGACTGACAGGGGAGCAGTTAGGTGTCAATCAGGCTGGCAGGGGAGTGGTTACGGAGTGATCAGGCAGGCAGTCGGGCAAGCAGTTGGGAACCAGCAGTCCTGGATTATGAGAGGGATGTCCAACTGCCTGTTTAGGCCTGATCCCAGTTGGACATCCCTCAAGAGGTCCCAGACTGGAGAGGGTGCAGGCTGGGCTGAGGGACACTCAACCCTGTGCATTAATTTTGTGCACCAGGCCTCTACTCTATATATATAAATGCCTAAGCAACTGTTATGAATGAACAAGTCAACCAGTTGCTATAACTGACCACCAGGGGGCAGATGCTTAACACAGAAGTTGCCCCCCCCCCCCTTGGTCAGTGCACTCCTACAGCCAACCTCCCATGGCCCCTCTTCCCCCAGGCAACCAACCTCCTGTGGCCCTTGCCCGCCAGCTGGCCCCCCTTACAGGCCTCAATCGCCGGCCAGGCCCAGGGACCCCACCTGTGCATGAACCGTGCACCAGGCCTCTAGTTATTCCTACAAACAGATATAAATGCCACATGAAGTTGCCTGCCTAGGTCACTGAAATGTATATACTCTTTTTACCAAGATAGAATATATATCACATTTATCGTGTATTTGCTTTAAATGACTACTACAGTTGCAAAAATTCTGACAATTTTTTGTCTATCTAACTCTATTTATGAAAGATTACTTTATTTGGTGCCAATGGTTCTAAAAATTACTCAAAATACCTCCAAATCAATGATATACTCTTTGTCTACCATGGTCTACTCACTGAATAACAGATGAAAACAATAAGGAAAGTGAGCCAAACGGTGATGGCAGATCAAAACTGAATTTCTAGAAATATTTATAGAATAATTATATGGCAAGCCCTATGCAAGATGTTGAAATATAAAGAAGAAAAAGACATGATCACTGGCTTTGAAGGGTTTGTAATTTAGCCAGGGACACTCACTCAGAGCAACTAATCATCCAGTAGAAAACCACCACATTGCAGTGGCAGGAACCAAGTGCCACATAGCCTGTGAGGATAGGAGAAGGCTTCGCAAAGGAAGAGAAGAGCTGGGCACTGAGGCTCACCAGGCATTTGTTAAACGACAGAAAAGGAAGGGCAGAGGGAATGAGCAAAGGATAGAATCATAAAAAGTGCAGGGAAATATTATGAAGCTGGAACTTTCTTCTTCCTTTCCCCCCACATTAAAACAAATGTTTCTATAACATATTTTTGATAACTCAAATTTCTTAGTAATTCAGTAACTGCATTTTAGAAGAACAGTCACATCCAGGGATGCTAATGAAGCTGGCAATTGTTATAAAGCAACAACCCACCATATAATCTACATGACTGGCTTTGTGAAATACCTCAGCATTTTTACCTGCCTTCCAGATTTTTAGCCTTTAGCTGCTGTTCCCCTTCACTTATTTGTTCTTCAAGCACCTTTATTCTGGATTCTCTCTGCTCTGGAGTTTCTTGACCGAAGAGCTTGGTAGTCATTCCCTTCAAAGAAAATGTTCTCACAGTCTAAAAGGATTTAGAAACAAATGAATAAATAAACAAAATGTGATGTATGCATACAATGAAATATTCAGTCATAAAAAGAAAGGAAATTCTGACACATGCACAAAATGGATGAACCTTGAGGACATTATGCTGAGAGAAAATAAGCAGTCACAAAAAAAAAAAAATTCTGTATAATTCTACTTACAGGAGTTATCTAGGATAGTCAGATTCACAAACAGAACACAGAATGGTGAGCCCTGGCTCGGTAGCTCGATGATTATAGCATCATCCTGATATGCCAAAGTTGAGGGTTTGATCCCCAGTCAGGTCACACACAAGAATCAACCAATGAATACATAAATAAGTGGAACAACAAACTAATGTTTCTCTCTCTCTCAGAATCAATAAATAAATTTTAAAAGTTAAAAAAGAATGTAGAATGGTGGTTGCCAGTGGTTGGCAGAAGAGGGAAACTGAGGGTTGATGTTTAATGGATATGGTTTCAATTTTGTGAGATGAAAAGTGTTCTAGAGGTTGGCAGCATGTCCTTACTACTATACTACTGAACTGTAAACTTAAAAATGGTTAAGGTGATAAATTTTATGTTATATACAGTGAGTAGTCAAATTATTATGTGTTCAGAGATCATAATTATCTGGCACTCTGTGAATATCCTAGATAATAAATGGCTAATATGCAAATTGTCCCCTCAACCAGGAGTTCGACCAGTAGGCAGACCTGCCAACCGCCCATGTCCCCTCCCCCTGGCCAGGCTGGCCAGACTCCACCCATGCAGGAATTCATGCACCGGGCCTCTAACACACACACACACACACACACACACACACACACACACACACATTGAGTGGCCAGATTATTATGAATTCTGAGATTATAATAATCTGGCCACTCAGTGTATATTTTACCACAAGTAAAAACTTTTTTTAGCCGGGACTGGTTTGGCTCAATGGATAGAGCGTCGGCTTGGGGACTGAAAAGTCCCGAGTTCGATTCCGGGCAAGGGCATGTACCTTGGTTGCGGGCATATCCCCAGTAGGGGGTGTGCAAGAGGCAGCTGATCGATGACTCTCTCTCATCGATGTTTCTAACTCTATCTCTCTCCCTTCCTCTCTGTATAAAATCAATAAAATATATTAAAAAAAAAAAAAAAAAAAAAAAAAAAAAACTTTTTTTAAAAAAGGAAACAAAGCTTTTGTCATTTCCCCCTAGATCACAAGCCTATAAACTAAGGGGCTCCTAATATTATTACTAATACTGAAATAATATGGAAGAGACAAAAAGAGTAAAATTCTAACTGAACTTCTTAATGAAATGGGAAACTTCTAGCTAAAGTGTTTATTAGGCAAGTCATATATACTAATAAAAGCCTATTAGGTCGTCACGCCCTCATGCCATAACAATCCATCAGCTGGAGGCTGCATGTGCAGCGGGGGCACGTGGGTGGACGGGGACTTGACGCTGCACGCACAGTGCAGAGGCGAGTCCTGGTAGATCTACGTGGCGAGGCTTGGAGGCTTTGTACAGCGAGGAGGCGGGTCCCGGCAGCTCTGTGCAGCGATGCCTGGGGGTCCCATGGCACCGCGCAGTGCAGAGGCAGGACCCCCAGCTCCATCCTACCTCTGTAGGGCAATCCATCAAGGAGCCCCGGATGGGTGGGCAGGGCCTACCTCTTTGGGGCAATTAATCACGGGGCTCCCACGCTATGAGAGGGCACAGGCCAGGCTGGGGGACTCCTCCCACAGTGCATGAATTTCATGCACTGAGCCTCTAGTTTCTTTATATTAGTGGTCATATTTTTCAGGGCAAAAACAAAAATAAACCAAACTAAAGAAACATTTAAAATCTGCATAACACACAGTGAAAATTGGGTATCTATAATAATAAAAATATAATATGCTAATTAGACCATACAGCTGAATGACTTTCCAGACATCATTTTGGATGAAGCCATGGCGGGGGCTAAAGCAGAGGAGGTTAGGGGCGATCAGGCAGGCAGGCAGAGGTGGTTAGGGGCGATTGGGCAAGGAGTCAGGAGATCAGTTAGGAGCCAGTGAACCCAGATTGCAAGAGAGATGTCTGACTGCCAATTTACAGGATCAGGTCTAAACTGATAGTCAGACATCCCCCAAGGGGTCCCGGGTTGTGAGAGGGTGCATATCAGGCTGAGGGACATGCCCCCACAACCCCTGACCTCATGCACTAATTTCATGCACCAGGCCTCTAGTCTATAGTAATATATATAAAAGCCTAAGAGACCTTACAACTGGACAGTAGCTCTGACATGCATTGACCACCGGGGTCAGACTCTCAATGCAGGAACTTTCCCCCTTGCCAATGCGCTCCTGCAGCCAATCTCCCACAGCCAGCCAACCTCCTGCGGTCCCTCCCCCCCCCGCTACTGGCAAACCTCCCATGGTCTCTTCCACGCTGGCCCTGATCAGGCCTGGGCAAGACAGCCCCAATCGGCCAGGAGGGATCCCGCCTGTGCACGAATTCATGCACCAGGCCTCTAGTCTTTAATAAAACAGGATGCCTACGCCTAAGCATTAAGGTTTACTGCTTTAACATTTCTTTAATCCCTGGAGATTGTGCAGGGAAACATTTTTCTCTTCCATGTAGGAGTAGAGAACCAAGCTCCCTGTAAAAGAACTGGGAGTTTCCCCTGGGTTTTAAAAATAAATTGAGCCTAATATATACCTGTTTGATGGTTAAAGGTCTTTCCCCATAAAGATCTTTGATTTTTCATACACATAGCAAGTGAGTACCTATCAGTACCTTTGAAACTAAAGTACTTGATAATATAAATGGAAGCATTGTCACTACTTCATTACTTCTAGATTGTGTGCTCTCACCACGGCAGCCAATTTATGCCAATAAGATAGCAGTGGAGTAGAAAGCTGATTACAGAAATGACCTAAGCCTAATACAATAAGATATGGAATTTTCTTCACAAATGCTCACTGTAAGCATTCAAGAATCAAATATACAAAAAGCTCTTTGTAAAGAGAGATACACTGATTCTGACTGAATATGGCTTTTCAAAGTAAACTTTCTATAATGTACCTTATAAAATTAAATCTGACGAAGGTTATTATTTCAATCCCAAAGAATAATGTTTTCTCACTTGGACTTAAGTAGAAATGAAATGACACTTATTACACAGAGCAATGTTAGCAAAATATAATACTATAGCTTTTATTTTTTTATATCAAGATCACAACCCAAAGAATTATAAATTTGCCCAAAAATTATTCCCGTTAAAGCTACAGGCATTCTGAGCAGTACAACTACAGCTCATGCCACATAAGACGTGCTACAGTAATACCAGAATTCTATTAATAAATGGAAAACCACTCACCCCAGTTGCCAGTTCCTCACATTGCTGCTTCTTAGATGCTAAGTCCTGAGCAGCCATCTCCAAGTCATATTGCATAAGTTCATGTTTCCTGCACACAGCCCTAGGGACAAAAAAGAATGCTGCCATTTAATTTTTATGGCTTCTCTTTTATCATGTTAAAAAAATTTTCAGGGGTAAAGGGGAGGCATCACAATGTCTTGGAAGGGTCAGAAATTGTGTATCCAGAATTTTCAAGTTTAAATATAGTTGCCCAACATTAAAAATTAAATCTAGCAAAACCTAAGTATAAAGACTTTATATGCCTTAAAACAAAAGGTTGTTTTCTAGATACTTGTAATTTTTTTCAATAAACATCTAAAATTGCCCTCGCCAGTTTGCTCAGTGGCTAGAGAGTCAGTCTGCAGATAGAAGGGTCCTGGGTTCAATTCCAGTCAAGGGCATATGCTTGGGTTGTGGGCGTACAGCAGTCAGCCAATCAATGATTCTCTCATTATTGATATTTCTATCTCTCTCTCCCTCTCTTTTCCTCTCTGAATTCAATTTTAAATATATATATTTTTTTATTGATTTCATACAGAGAGGAAGGGAGAGAGATAGAGAGTTAGAAACATCGATGAGAGAGAGTCATCGATCAGCTGCCTCTTGCACACCCCCTACTGGGGATATGCCCGCAACCAAGGTACATGCCCTTGACCGGAATCAAACCCGGGACCCTTCAGTCCCCAAGCCGACGCTCTATCCATTGAGCCAAACCGGTCCCGGCCTGAATTCAATTTTAAAAAGTTTTAAATAAATATCCAAAATTATCACATCATAAAAAACTTTTTATATAATATAGAAACTAATGCTATAATCTCACATAGCAACTGAGTATTCTTTAAAAATACTAGTATATCTCAAAGCTTTATTCTTTTTTATTTAGAAATGTCTATTAGTTTTTAATATCATAAAATTAATCCTTGCTCACTGTAAAAATAATTCTAACACAGGAATGCACAAAATTTAAAAAAGTTTCAAGAACCTTCTCTTTTCCCCAATCCCACTATCCAGACACAATCCATGTTAACAGATGACATATATGCTTTCAGACTTGAGCTAGGCATTTACAAATGTATATATCTACAACCCAAGTGATTCCACATCTTTTCTTAACTATATGCCATAAACATCCTATATAATAAAAGCCTAATATACAAATTGACAGAACAGCAGAACGACCAGAGGAACAACTGGTCGCTATGACTCGCACTGACCATGCTCAATATAGGAGCTGCCCCCAGCCTGCAGGCCCCAGGCCAGCCAAGGCAGGTGCCAGCAGGGACCCTCCATCACCCCGCTGGTCAAGCTGCAGAGGGAGGCGACTGGTGGCAATGACAGGAGGCAGGGCCAGAGAGCGGCAGTACCAGGCTGGCCAAGGCAGGTGCCAGCAGGGATGCCCTGATCACCCTGCCAGTCACCCCACAGACTGACATTGATCTCCAGCCAGGCAGGCCTAGGGAACCTACCCTTGCAAGAATTTTGTGCACCAGACCTCTAGTATTTCCATATTAATACATGTTAATCTTTTCTAGAATTTTAAAGAAAATTCCACTGTATTCAGCAACCTCCTATTCCCTGGTAATGTGGAAATACCTCGGTGAAACTACTTACCACTCAAAGCCTAGAAGAAAAAATTAACAATGTTATGTTTTCATACCAATTACTGAACAGGTAAAGAAATACTGCTCTACTGTTTTACTAACCATTTTTTCCTAATAGAATTTTTAAACTGTTTTTAAAAACGACAAAAAATTACCAAAAGTGGTTACAATAAAAGCTACGATTATAGGAAAATATTTTCTAAAATGAGTAGAAAAAAATATAGGAAGTTCTTAATTAGTATGACCATCTATCAGCGAGTTCTGTTTGGCTTTATATAAGATACCAAAGAATAGAAGATAAAGTCCTGATATTAAGAAGTTTTATAGCCATTACTAAGGAGGTAAGATCTACAGGTGTGAGAAAAATTACAGAATAAAAATGGCAGAATTAGAATAGATAGCCCTGGCTAAGTGGCTCAGTTGGTTGGAACATCATCTCATACAGATGTTTTTAAGTGTACAGTATAATGGCATTAAGTACCGTACAAAAGGTTGTGGGTACAATTCCCGGTCAGGGCACATACCTAGGTTGCTGGTTTGATCCCCAGTTGGGGCATACACAGGAGGCAACTGATGCATGTTTCTATCACATTAATGTTTCTCTCTCTCTTTCACAAATCAACAAACATATCAAGAGAGGATTTTAAAAAAGGCAATATACAACCTAGTAAAAGATAGTGTTACATACATATTCAATCTGTAATTTGCTTCCAATCTTCAAATTGAAAAAAGTACAAAGAACAACACACAGACACCTGAAGCCTGAGACTGACAGCTTTTATCAATATATCTAGAGGCCCAATGCACATAATTCGTGCTAGGGGCTTCGCCCTAGCAACCCCAGCTTCATCTGGAAAGTCGTCCAGAAGGATATCCAGAAGGTTGTTTGGCTGTTTCGTGTAATTAGCATATTAGCTCTTTATTATATAGGATGTATCAAGGACAGGAATTATCTTAAATTTCTGTCTAGCACTCGGCAACACAGAGGACTACAAAGAGATCTCATCCAATATCTGGAGGAATTAATTAATTTAAAATCTTTTTATTCATTAAAAAACTTTACTTATCTCTATTTTAGAGCAGCATGTATATAGAGTGGTGACCAGCTGCATCTCTAACACTTATACTTACCGTAGGGCTTCTGCATAAAAAAGATACTCCTTTAACTGATCTGCATAATGCTCTTCATCTTCCAAAATATCATCAATAGAAGATGCATACCTATTTAAAAAATATTATAGAAGCAACTTTTATCAGGACATTCTAAAAAAGTGCTATTCAAAGCATAATCCATAGACCATTTACTACCCATTAGTGACAAAGGTAAGTACAGAAAATGAGAATAAGCATTTAGAAACATTTATAGCAATTTCTAATTACCATGACAATATTATTGCATTTTACTATAATGTTTCAATCAGCTTGAAAATAAAAAGTAAAACAAACCAAAAAATGGCCATTTTTACAGGTAGCTTAAGGAACACTGTAAGACAAGAATATACTTTGTTCAAAAATAATATGAAAGAGCTATAAAATCTGTAGAAAGAATAATAGTATAATTGATGCACAAGTGTTCATGGTAGCAACTACATACAGTAAGGCCAAAAACTATCAAAAGAAAAGTTGAGCAAATAAAGATTACAGAAAACTTTAGGAGCCTTATTTTATTAGAATTCTCAATAAATCTCTGTTTTGATTCGAACAAGCTCCTCGTTGTTAGGCCACTCTTGGTCCTGGACCTGAGTCTTTCCTGTACAGAAATGTGATGGCTCTCCATAGTGCTTCTCCAAATCCTACAACCACATATCGGAACACCTCTATAAAATCTTCCCAGACTCCTTCAGTCCTCATTCATCACTCTGGATATTTATCAACAATTTAGGACGTAGGTTGTATCAAAGTAGACTCGAGTATTGATTTTATTTCCCTGGTCACATTATAAATTTTGTAAGGACATAGGCCATGTCATTAACTTTAGAATAGTCATGCTTTTTTCAAATTAATTCCAATTCCCTAGCATCAGGATAAAAGAAAAATAAACTTTATGTTTCCAAGCCTGCTTCATATAGGCAAGGAAACATAGTCCACTATAAACTAAGGTTCACTGAAAAGTAATGTGCCTATGGGATTTATAAAAGTAGGCATATTACAACTTCTGTAATTACAAATTTACATCTGTAGAGTGTGGAACATATTCTAAGAATCATTGCTTTGAGTAAGAAAAAAATAATTTAGCTCATAAACCTGTGATTCTGGAAAGTTAATGTTAGAAAAACAAAACAGAAGAACTGCAGGCCTTGGGGCTTGAAAAAAGGAAACAGTGTAGGGATAAACACACGTTCCTGGGTAGAAAAGTATAGGGTAAAGGATTTCAGCTATCAGTAGTGACATTAGTTTTATTTAATACTTTACAATCAATTGAAGAAATACTAAATTTCTGCAAACACTGAAAATGTTAAGTCAAAAAAATGCAGGAAGACTTCTTAATAATCTGGATGAAAAGTAGCCAGTTAGCTTAAATACAGCCCAAGAAAAATAATACTTAGATAAAATTAATGTCTTAATTTTTATTACTGAGTTGTAACTCATATATTATAGTTAGAAATACTTACTCCAAGTCTATGACTTGCCTCTTCATTATCTTAATTGTGTCTTTTCTGTTTGTATATGTGATAAAATATATGTAACATAAAATTTACCTTTTAAATAATTTTTAGTGTACAATATAATGGCATTAAGCACATCCACATTGTTGCAAACACCAGCGCCATCCATCTCCCCAACTAAAACAGTATCTACTGAACAGTAACTCCTACATTCCTCTCCCCCATAGAAACTTTGAAATTTTTTAATTTTGATGAAGAACAATTTACCATTAAAATATTTTTCTTTTCATGTCCTTTTAAGAAATCTTTGCTTACTCAAAGGTTACAATAATATTTTCCTGTTCTCTACTAAAATACATCATTTTCTCTTTTACACTTATGTATATAACTCGAATTAGTTTTTATATAAGATATGAGATATGCCTCAAGGTTCATTTTCCCCCTCATGTAGATATCCAATAAATTTCCAAAAACATTTCTTGAAAAGGACTATATAACTGTAGATCTACTAGTATTTCTGAACTCTATTCTGTTTCATTGATCTGTTTATCTCAATACTATCTTTAAATAGTAAGTCCTGAAATCAAATAATATATTCCAGGTTTTGTGGAGGTTTTTCAAGATTATTCTGGCTATTCTAGATCTTCTGAATTTCCACATACATCTTAGAATCAGCTTACCAATTTCTATTAAAAAGTCACTGGAATTTTAATTATGGCTACAGTCCATAAAGAATTGTCATATTAATACTACTGAGTTCTCCAATCCATAGCATGAGTTATCTATTAATTTAGGTTATCTTCAATTTCTCTCAGCAGTGTTTATATATAAAGTCTTCAGTGCAGAGGTCTTTCATATCTTTCATTAAATTTATCTCTAAGTATTCTGGTTTGTAATAAATGCATAGATAAGTGGAACTACAAATCAATGTCTCTCTCTAAAAAGAAATAAAATTTTTTAAAGTATCTGGCTTGATGCTATTATAAATAGCACTGTTTTAATATTTTTGTTTTCTAATTGTTGCTAGTATATCAAAGCAATACTTTTTTAATATATTGATCATATATCCTGCATTCTTGTGGGTTATTTGTTTTTGTTTTGTCTTTTGTTAATCCTCACCCGCAGTTATTTTTCTATTGATTTTTAGGAAGGGTATAAAAGGCAAGGAAATATCGATGTGAGAGAAACACAGCAATTAGTTGCTTCCTGCACAAGCCCCTGACCAAAGCCATGGCCAAAGAGGAGCCTGCAACCAAGGTACATGCCCTTAATCAGAATTAAACCTGGGACCCTTTGGTCCGCAGGCTGACACTCTATCCACTTAGCCAAACTGGCTAGGGCTCCTGCAATTCTTATTAAATTCAGTTGTTAGTTCTATAATGCTTTTGGTTGATTATAATTTTTTTTAATGTATAAGATCCAAGATCCTGTTAACTGCAAATAAAAAATGGTTTTACTTCTTCCTTTCTAATACTTATTAGAAGGTTGATTTTCTTGCCTCGTGGCACCACTAAGACCGCTAATACAACAGCAAACAACCTTGCCTTGTTTCTCTTTTAGGAGAAAGTGTTAATGTTTCACTATTACAAGTACAATATTAACTATTGGTTTTAGAGTTGAGTTAGTATCTTTTATTCCTACCTTGAGGATCATTTTTACTGTGAATGAATGCTGAAATATTTTTCCTACATGTATGGAAATGAACATACAGACTTTCTTTTTCATTCTGCTAATATATGAAGACAGATTGGCTTTTCAATGCTAAGTTAAACTTGCACTCCTAAGTTAAACTTCTTTAAAGACAGGCAGTGAGATTAGAATCAACTGCCAATAATGTTCTATCTGCTAATCCCAGTAGCTTCTGTTTTTTTGGTTTTCTTATTCAAAAGAACTCTTTACCTCCACTCACCAAAGCATAATGTAAATGCCAGCAAAATTGATAAAAAAGAAGAATCACTAACACTTCACCCTAGGTTTTACCTCCTATGCTCCAGGTACTTACACATCCATATGATGACCAGCACTCTGCAGTCCATCACCCATTTCTTTTTCTATGGCACTCCATTCACTGCGAAGAAAAGGATAAAACAAACACAATTGTGTATTAGATATGGAATTCTATCAAATGGAATTTTTTACAAGTTTTTTTTTTCTAATAGCTTTTAAAAATATATCTGTTTTTGGATTTATTTTCTGTGACTCAAATATGCTGCTTTCACCTTAAGTTTAAAACTAAATGCAAGTGAAGGTTTTTGTTTAACAACAGATACTTAAACTCAAGCTGTTTGTAAACCTAGTTTACTCAAAGTCAGGCAGCTGATCAGAGACAAAGATGAAATTAGAATCAACTGCCAATAGTATTCTATCTGCTAACCTCAGCAACTTGGTTTTGTTGTTGTTGTTGTTTTCTTATTAAAAAGAGCTCTTTACCTCCACTCACCATGCATATGACCAAAAAATAAAAAAATAAAGCATAGAATCATTAAACAAAATACATCTGGTGTCATTAAGCTCTGGGACACATGAGTTTTGTGTATACCTAAAATGTGCACAGGACTTTCTGAAAGAAATTTGCTTGTGTATTTTCCTGGAATCCTTTGAAAGGAATTATACCAATTAAATTACTACTATCCACCCCTTTAAATCTCCAAGACCCCTATCCCATTCCTTAGCTCAGGATGGCATATAAGCCTCAATGCCCAACTTGCCTTGAGTCTCATACCTTTGTGGTTTCCATTAACACGAAATTAAATTTGTTTTTTTCTCTCCTGTTAACCCATCTCTTACCAACGTAATTCAAACCAAATAACAAGAAATATGCAAGTATTGATAAATATTTTAAAAAGCTATCTTGAAAAAGTCTTAAAATTATAAAGTGAGACGAAAGAGAAAATCACTAAATCTATAAAATTTTGATTTCCAATAAAATATTCTTGGGCCTTCTGCTGAGAAAGTAAAAGGTAACACTCACTGCTTCAGAGTAGTTTCACTATTCTGCTCAATATATAGGACTTCCTCACTATTTTTTATTTAAAATAGGGCATCATTTTAAAAAAATAATCTTCAACTTTCCAGACTCATCAATTTTCCAAAATTAGCCCTAGCCGATTTGGCTCAGTCGATAGAGCATAGGCCTGCAGACTAAAGGGTCCCAGATTTGATTCCAGTCAAGTGCACATGCCCAGGTTTTGGGCTCGATTCCCATTGAGGGAGAATGAAGGAAGCAGCCGACCGAAGGTTCCCTCTCATCATTGATGTTTTTATCTCTCTCCCTTACCTTCCTCTCTGAAATCAATGGAGATACATTAAAAAAAATTTCCCCCCAAAAATTATAGTTTTCAGACAAAAACCTAATTAGAGCTAATTGTTATTTATTTTAAGAGTTTATGTAATGCTTACCTGAAAACTCGCCCGTAATTCCCATGTACTTTATATACACCATAGAGTCGATCTGCTACTCTCTGGAATACATATTTAAAAGATACTGCTATTATATGATCAAAGATATATACAATAATAAACCTTGCTTAGTATAAAAAACTTGGAAAATATGGAAAAGAAAACTTAAACCTCCCAAAGTTTTATCACTCTTGATATAAGAAACGTATAGACAATAATTAAAACATATACAGAAAGAAGTATGAAAGTGATTACATAAATATAATGACCATACTATTTTCCCCCATGATAATAATTTTACCCAGCAGGCTAACAGATACAAATTTAAATTTTTGCATAAAATTCTACACACTGTACAGACTGTGTAAGCATTCCTTGTTGGATATTTAGTTATCCCTCTTTTTTCAATGTTATAAATAATCTTGTAATAAGCATCTGAGAGTAAGGCTTTTTCTAAATTTCAGATTGTTTCTTTATGATAAAAGTCTCCCAAGTGTTATATAGGAGAAAGAATATAGACATTTTCAATTCTATTGATATTTTACACATAAATGCTCAACACATACAACATGCTTCTATGCTACTCTGTCAAGATAACTCCTTCTAACCAACAAAAACATTAGGTTTTTAATAACATAATTATAATTAGCATCACAGGGTTGAAATATATACTACCTAGCCATTCACACGTTTTACAAAAGACAAAAAACAACATCATGTTTGATAATTTGCTTTACTTTTCCCCAATGTTATGGATAAGAACTGGAAGACCAAAGGTTAATTCCACATAAAACCCTAAAAAATTTCTAATATGCAGTTTCTAAATATAAACCCTAAGGATAAATTCCTTACTCAAACAGGAGTAATTTGAAAAGTTAGGCATTAACCATATAACAAATCTTAACCTTTTCCATACTTTAGCTTAAAGTGAACAAACCACCATGGTAAACTCTTGGAGCAGGCCTAAGGGAATTATAAAATGTTTTTCATCTTGCCTTGGCCTGCTCTGAAGGAACCCACTAGACTAGACGAATTAAATAGAGAAACTTGTCTGCAGTCTTTTTAAAAAAATATATATTTTATTGATTTTTTTTACAGAGAGGAAAGGAGAAGGATAGAGAGCTAGAAACATCGACGAGAGAGAAACATCGACCAGCTGCCTCCTGCACTGCCCCCACTGGGGATGTGCCTGCAACCAAGGTACAGCCCTTGACCGGGATCGAACCCGGGGCCTTTGAGTCCGTGGGCCGACGCTCTATCCACTGAGCCAAACTGGTTCTGGCTTGACTGCAGTCTTAATCTAAAGACAACACTACAATACCAGGAGGCACAGGAGCCCCACTTGGAACGCCCTGAAGAGCAGCATCAAGAACACAGTAAAAAATGTCCAGCCCACAGTATACCCCATAGAACCCCAATGATCACTCCAAATACAAAACCCATCCAGGAAATATTAAAGCAAAACACATCTTCTACTACTACCGAGGAAGCACAACGGCTCAAGCAGGAATGTGAAAAAGAACTAATATGGCTTTGTGGCCGATTTGACAAGGGCAATTTACAGATTTCAGAAAAAGACAAAAACTCAAGAAACAAACAACTAGAAGCCAAACAGGAAACACACTATCAAAACACTCCCCTCAAAAAATACCAAATTGTTTCAAATACTCCATCACTTCCAGTAACCGAAAAGAAAAAGGTCACAAAAAATCAGATACCAGCCGAAATCGGTTTGGCTCAGTTGATAGTGTCGGCCTATGGACTGGAAGGTCCCAGGTTCGATTCAGATCAAGGGCATGTACCTTGGTTATGGGCACATCCCCAGTGGGGGGTGTGCAGGAGGCAGCTGATCGATGTTTCTCTCTCATTGATGTCTCTAACTCTCTATCCCTCTCCCTTCCTCTCTGTAAAAAATCAATAAAATATATATTGCAGTTGAGCAGCAGACAGAAGTGGCAGATGAAATTGATATAAGCATGGATAACAATGATAATATCCATAGTTCAAAAGTAATTAATGACAGCCCAGCCACGGTGACTGGACATCAACCTATGAACGAAGAGGTAATGGTTCAATTCCCGGTCAGGACACATATCTGAGTTGTGGACTTGATTCCCAATAGGGAGCATGCAGGAGGCAGCCAATCAATGATTCTCTCTCATCATTGATTTTTTTTTCTCTCCCTCTTCCTTCCTCTCTGAAATTAATTACACACACACACACACACACACACACACACACACACACACACACGGGGCCCAGTGCACATTGAAAGGAAATTAATTAGAAGGTGGCCGGCGGGCCAGGACTGGGCTGGACTCGCCCTGGAGCCAACCTCCCATAGTCCCTTCCTGGCCACCCACACCTGGGGGGGTGCAGGGCTCAAAGGGCGTCTGCAGAGTGGGTGGGGTCCCTCGGCCTGGCCTGCAGGGATCGGGATGAAACAGGCAGTCCGACATTCTCCGAGGGGTCTCTGAGTGTGAGAGGGCACTCTGCAAAGTTGCTGTTGCTCAGCAGCTCCTTTGTTGAGCATCTGCCCCCTCTTGGTCAGTGTGCATCATAGCTACTGGCTGGTTGGCTGGTCACTTAGCTTTTTATAGCCTATATAATCCTATACAACAAAGAGGTAATATGCAAATTGACCATCACACCATCACAAGGTGATGGCACCCATGGAGGGGAGCAGGGCCGGCTGCTCCATGCCACCAGAGTCCCCTAGCCCCGTCAGGGGCCTTGGGTCCTCCTGCATCCCCCACTGACTGAGGCTAAGGCAAGCAGGGCCAGCCAAGGCTTGCACTGCTGGCAGTGGCAGCAGCAAAGGTGTGATGTTGAGCGTTGCCTTCCCAATTGCTGGGTCGCCTTCCACCCAAGGATTCCTGGACTGTGCGAGGGGCAGGCCAGGCTGAGGGACCACCCCCATCCAGTGCATGAATTTTCATGCACCGGGCCTCTAGTATATAGATAAAAGCACAGGCGGGGAGGGGGGAGCAATTAATGACATCATCAATGTCCTAGAGGCAGGTGTGGCAAAGATGTGGCAAAGAGCCAAGAAATGGATCAAGCAGAAGCAGAGAGCAACAAAGACTGGGAAGATGCACTAACTAGCTCCTCAAAGTCTTTGCTTGCTTTATTAGCACAGACAGTGTGGTACATCCAGAGAGTTTAGTTTCCTCACCTAGACTGGAACTGAAAATAGTGCATATATGATAAATGTCCAAAACCAGGAAAATTACAAAGAACCTGTGTCTCCCAGGCTTAGCCTTGGTGATAAGCCTTGGTTCTGAGCTTCTTTATGTTACAGCATTAATGCATATGGATCTCAAAGAATAAAAGAAACAGACTGGCATTCAACAGAGCAGGTGATTGTTTGGAAGGAAGACGATACTTCAAAATTGGAGGGGAAAAAGAATACTGAAGAAAAGAATGGCTTCCATTGTTAAGTTAATAACCAAGAAAAAATGCAGGAACTCACAATGAAATCAATCTGCAGCAGAGCGATCTATCACGCCAGCCAGGCTCTGAACTGCTGTGCGGATGAGGGGGGCATGGAAAAGGGTCCCTAGAGGAAGCTGAAGCAGAAAGCCTTCTGATTTTAACTGAGCACACGCGCGCACACACTTTAATCCTCACCTGAGGATATGTTTATTGATTCCAGAAAGGGGAAAAGGGGAGGGGAGAGACATCGATGTGAGAGAGAAACATCGATCAGTTGTCTTCTACGTGCCTGACCAGGGATCAAACCAAAACCCTTTTAGTATACAGGACAGCATGGAGTGCCACCCAGCCAGGGAGAGAAGCAAGCACCTCTGACTGATGAGCTGAATGAACTGAAGAATGAAAGGCCTGAGAGGAAGAATAAGACTGGTCCCATATCCCAAATAAACAAGTCCCATCCAAAGGACCAGTCATTGTCAGAAATCTACTTGCCCCTAAAAGCAGATCTTGTTGCCTGGCCGGTGTTGCTCAGTGGTTGAGCATCGACCTAGGAACCAAGAGATCCTGGTTTGATTCCCAGTCAAGGCACATGCCTGGGGGTGGAGCCTTAATCCCCAGTGTGGGGCTTGCAGGAGGCAGCCAATCGATGATTCTCTCTCATCATTGATGTTTCTATCTCTCTCTCCCTCTCCCTTCCACTCTAAAAATAATAAAAATATAAATTTTAAAAATAATAAATAAAAGCATTTTGTCTGCAGCACAGTTCAGAAATCAGATATAGCAAATTACTATTTCCTAATTATACCGAAAATATGGTACCCATACCATTAGCAAGTACTTCACATTCTCTTAATAGCAATCTCTAACATTCTCTACTACACATACTCTGGAAGACATGTTCAATGACTTTGAAATAAATATTGAAGTCCATAGCTTGGTGCCAAAGAAAGACCCCTCAATGCCTAAGGAGAATAAGGCTACAAATCCAAGGCTATTGCTCCAAAGAGACTTCTCACATTCATAACCACAAAAAGCACCCTTTATTCTTCAGTTATGGTGAGTCCAGGCAGTCTCAGTGCTGTGCATAACAGCAACTTTATCCTGTTGGATCTTACACGCTGTCATTATCTTCGGTAGGAAACACTAAGCTTGCTCTGGACAGTTGCCCTTTTCATCTCCTTTGGAAGGTCTTATTTAAAAATAAAATGACGCCGAGGCTGGTTTGGCTCAATGGATAGAGCGTCGGCTTGGGAACTGAAAGGTCCCGGGTTCGATTCCGGTCAAGGGCATGTACGTTGGTTGCGGGCATATCCCCGGTAGGGGGTATGCAAGAGGCAGCTGATCGATGATTCTCTCTCTTCGATGTTTCTAACTCTCTATCCCTCTCCCTTCTTCTCTGTAAGAAATCAATAAAATACATATTTTTTTAAAAAAATAAATAAAATAAAATAAAATAAAATAAAATAAAATGTCAAGTGAATTTAAGTGTTGAAGAAAGAGGTTTCCTAACCATATTTGAAGATGTTAATGGTTTTGGTGCCTGGCATTGAAAATGGTGTATCCTCTCTGGAAACTGTATCTCTGATGGAATTTATCCAGGTGATGAGAAACAAAAGGATCCCATAGG